CCCGGGACGGGCCGCGGCCCCCACCCGCGCACCTGAGGAGCCTGAAGGCCTCCCCGTTCCCCTCCGCTTTGTTCCGCGGTTCTGTGTTCCGTGTCGAGGTCGGCTGATCCCGCTGGAGCTGGGTTTGAAGGGCTGAGAGGGGCGGATTGTGTTTGTGTCTGTGCGTGTGTGTCTGTCTGTGCGTGTGTGTCTGTCTGTGCGTGTGTGTCTGTCTGTGCGTGTGTTTGCCTGGCGGTGGTTGGGCTGAGGTGGCTTTGGCCCCCGGATTGCTCTGGTTGTCTTCAAAGTGTTTCACAGCTGTAAATGTTTGTCGCAGTGCCAGCGGGTGCCGCTTTGCAGTGTTGCGTGAGGGAGAATGAAGTAGCCTGCGGGCCAGAATAAAGGCGATCCAAGCTATAGAGTCACAGTATGGTTTGGGTGGAAGGGACCACCAATGGTTTGGGTTGGAAGGGACCTTGAAGATTATCTGGCTCCAACCCCCCTGCCATGGGCAGGGACACCTTCCACCAGACCAGGTTGCTCAAAGCCCCATCCAGCCTGGCCTTCAACGCTTCCAGGGATGGGGCATTCACGACTTCCCTGGGCAACCTGTTCCAGTGCCTCACCCCACCCCCACAGTGAAGAGAAGAATTTCTTCATCTCACCTAAATCTCCCCTCTTTCAGTTTAAAGCCATTACCCCTTGTCCTGTCACTACGTGCCCTTGTGAAAAGTCCCTCTCCAGCTTTCTTGTAGGCCCCCTTCAGGCACTGGAAGGCTGCTCTAAGGTCTCCTCAGAGCCTTCTCTTCCCCAGGCTGACCAACCCCAGCTCCCTCAGCCTGTCCTCATGGGAGAGGTGCTCCAGCCCTCTGATGATCATTGTTGCCCTCCTCTGGACTCGCTCCAGCAGGTCCAGGTCCTTATCTGTATAGCTGTAGAGTAGTTAAACGAGTAAGTGTGTCTCTTCTTAACTTGGTAATGCCCTTCTTAAATAAAAGCATATCAACAGGAAACTGTAATATATCATCACCGCCCTGGGGATTAATACTTTTCTGTGCACGTGAGATTCTTTCAAGATTTCTGCCAAGCTTTTTTCTTGACTGAAATTACTTTCCCAGGTGCCTTAGCGATGAGCATTTGCCAGACCTTTCACAGTGGAGACTTAATGTTGTTTACCTGCACGTGTGTGTGTGTGTGTCTTCTTTAGGACTCCCACCCTCGTTACATGGGGTGGCGTAGCTGGTACTGGTATAATATGGTTCACAGACTGGAAGCTGGTCCTTCAGTATGTTCCCTACATCGGTGGCAAGTTTAAAACTGAAGACTAAGCTTCCCTCTAATGGTAAGTTTTGTTTGTGCATCTCTTAGCTTAAGTAGTGGTATTGCGTTGATGTGACAGTTGGTGTGTCCTGTTTGGCCAGGGCACAATCATATCGTTGGTCCAAAACAGAACTGCTCAGTTTGATTGTTCAGGGCTTTTTTTTTTTAGTTTGATTGTTCAGGGCTTTTTTTTTTTTTTTAATTCGGGGCTTCACAGTGTGCCAGAAGGATGAAATATTAATAAGAATATGTTTTTCAAGTGATTATTTTGCAAGCAGTGGATTTTTCACAGTGTAATGTGGTTCTTGAGAAGTCAAATCGAGTGTTTTGTGGTAATTTGGAACTTTTGACAGATCTGTTTGCTTCCAATCCTAGCTAGAATGGCTTCAAGCTCAGGACTAGTTTTGTTGCTAGGCAAATTCAGACTGCTTTCTGTTCCTTGTAACTGTTACCAAAAGTAAGTTGAATGTTCAGAGCTGGTCACTACGTACCACAAATTCATTGGAAAATTGGCTTTCTCAAGTTTTTTTTTTTTTCCTTCTTTAATTGCATATGAAATGTGCTGTTCTGAATCTTCTATAAGACTGACCATCCGTAAAACTAGAGCAGCGATTAGACGATACCTTCTGCTGGGCCTCTAAATGCATATTTGTGCAGTAGGCAGGCTTAGAACTTTTTTTTATTCCTTGCTGCAGAAGGGAGTTAGGAAAATTTTTGCCTTGCATTAAAGGATGCTGATGGAAAAAGGTCCAAAGGAAACTGTATAGATCTCAATACTTGTTTCTTCCAATCAGAATAACAGCTACATTTAAATGTTGCTCAATGAAAGTAAGATACTTGCCTTCAAGCTATACAGTATTTTATAGGGAAATCAGTGAGACTGGAAGTCACAGAGCAAATCCTTAGTATTTTTGTAACTCTCTTTTTCCAGAGATACTTGTTGCAGTTTAAACAATTTACTGTGTCTTCCCCGTTTTCAAAATATGTATCACAGATCCTTGGCTTAGCCAAAGGATGAAAGAAACTTTCCATGAAAGTCAGCTGCACTTGTGGCATCTTGGGTGACCCTAGCTGCTTACGGGCAAGTCAGTGGAAAAGCTCTCGAGTCGTGCAGAGGCAATTAAATTACCTAGTAAGGGCTTTCTTTACTGAAAAATTGTCTTAGCCAGTCATAGGAACGTGGATACGTTCCCGAGACCGCAGTCTATGTTCCTTGTTTTGAAGCAAGAGCTTTGCTGTGTCATTGTGCACAAATCATCTGGAAAGGGCATATTCCTCTACAGGAGTAAGGAGGACGTTTCTATGGTGGTCTGCGATTCCTTCCAAAGGGACTACTGGCCTGCATTCTGCTGTGCCTCTGTCGGCTTCTGTAACAGAACCTTCTTGCCTGGATACTGGAGGCTTTTGAAATCTGTCTGTGGTGTTGGCTGCTGTAGCACTTTGCAGGAAGCACTGCTTAATGACTGCTTTGTGTTTATTGTAGGAAATTTATTGCTGGATAGAGTGTTTTGGAGCCATCCGTCCGCTGAGACCCTGCTTTGAGGTGACCTTGAAATGCCCAATACATTGCAACAGGCCGTGGTGTCCCTCTCTCTCTCCCATGAACAGTTGTGAACAAATTTAACCTCGCTGACCAGCCTGCCTGGTACCCTTCCTCTGATCACTTTCACAGCAGATCTTGTCCTAACGGGAGTAATTTATAAACCTGATGTACAAAATAAACCAGGTGAATGATGGTTTGGGGTTTTTGCCTTACCTTCTTAGTCCACGTTCTTTAGACTAGACTCTGGGTTTGGGTTATCTCTTCGGCTTGTTTGAACGTGTGTCCTAAGGAAGGCCTGCCGCGTGTTCGCCTCTCCTCCCGCGCAGGTTCCTCGCGCATCCACCAGCGGCTGCTGGGATGCTTGATGAGCCTTTTGTTTGTCCCCCAGTAGCTGTTGCTTATCAACTCTTAATACCGCTGTAGCTCTTGAACTATTCTTAGTGAAGTGTTGATTTTAAGCTAATCATTCCTAGATCAGCAGCAACCGTGGACTCTTGCATGCAGTTCACTTTTCATACCCAATATTGCAGAGTTTCGTGCTAACAAAGATTCCTGGCATTTAGTTTAAAGCAAGGTTTTGTTTCTTTTTAACGTCAATTCGTGGACCCCTTAAACTGTCTGATTGGGCACACACCATTTTAAAGCAGCGTGTGCAGTCTGAAACCAGGCTTTTCTGGCTTAATCTAGGGGCTCAAGGAAGGCAGTCCGCAAACCTGGGAGGCTTTCTGTGCACCAGGGTGAAAACCAGTGCTTTAGAGACTGCTCAGTTACTTTCTTAATGTGGGTTTTGAGCAGGAGAAGAATATGTATCTGTACTTCATAGGTGTAGTTATATTTATCAACATAAATTGGTGATAAAACAACCCACTGCCAGAGCCCTCTAGATGAAAAAGTTTTTAGCTGTTAGAAAAAGGAAATACAAGGATTATTCTTGATCTGGTCTCTGCCGCTAAGCCACAGCAGATGTCTCAGACTTAAGGGGGAAGTTTATCCCTTTCCGCAAAGACCAGAATTTGCAAACAGACTTATCTCTGTGTGAGAACAGGGTCAGTGTTTTCTCTCCATTTAGTGCCAAATTTCACCTCATAATTTTTGGCTGCAGTGAAAGGTTTGAATCTCTTTAGGGGAAAATCTCAGTTGTAGTAGCTGCGCTGCTTGGGTTCAGCCCCTACAGGGCTGAAGGCTTCTGAGTGCTGGTTCTATGGAAAACTGTTGTAAAACCTGCCTAAACGGTGGCACTGTGCATGACACTTATTTAACAGAATAATTGCGTTAGCATTGCTTCGGCAGCATCATTGCTAATTAATTGGGGGGGGCAGGGAATATCATTTTCACATGCCAAACTCTCTTTGCTGCCCTGCTGCGTCCAATAGGACGGTACAGAAGTTTATGGCGTGATGGGATAACCGTGCTATTTCCTCGGTCTGTCCCCCTCCCCTGCTCCAGCAGTGCTCCTGAACTCCTGCCCGACTCCCAGAAGGCCAAAGCCACTGCGCCTTGAAGTGCTGAGAACGTAGGTTTGACGACAACAGCCCTGTGCTATGTATAGGGATATCGATATTGATCCATTTTCATCCAAAGTACGCCTTGAAAGTGGACATTATATCAGCCTGTACTCGCACGTCATGAAACTCAGACTTGAACAGTTAAGAGTCTCTGCTCTTACATACCTGTTTAACATGTCTAGACAGGACGGGCACAATATGCTGCTGCTGACTTCAGAAATGACCTACTTTGGGCTTGTTCCCGTGGGCGGGCGAGCCTCTGCTCCCACGGCTGAGAGAGTTCTTCAGAAGGCCTTGAACCGAGGGTCTGTGCTGCCCGTTCCCCTGGGGACCCTGGTCTCGCCGCGCTCTCAGTCTGCGGTTCTCAGCAGTGAGAGTTACCTTTCGCAAAGCCCCAGCCTAGCATTGTGCACAGCGGATGAGTTTGGAAGATATTTAAAGGAGAAAACCATATTCAAAATACCAGCTGCCTGCACAGGCAGGCACTGCGAGAAACGTACGGACTTTGGATTTGTTTGCCCTTCGGCGATTGTTTAGCTGCTTGTGTTTTCTGCAGCGTTTCAAATGATGGCTTTGTCTCTAATTAACCCTAGGATTAGCATATAACTGATTTAATTTCTAATATTTCTCCTTCTGCAAGAGCAAGCACTCTTCAGAAATACTCTATTAGAAATATCTTCTGCGTTCTTGGGCAAATTTCTGTTAAATAATCACTGTTCAAGTGTCACGAGCGATCTTTCTAATTTTTAATAGCCTAGCATTGCCTCTTTTCTAACGGCTAATTATTTTTCAGAATGAGCTAACCAAATGTCACATACATTATATGAACAAATTTGGTAAAAGACAGCAGCCCGACAGAGGAGGAGAAGCTTCCCCTTCAAAACCTGGAGAGTTCCACTAGAGGGCACAGCGGCGGCCAAGCTCCCGGGGCTTTGGATTTACAGAAATCAAAAAGCACCTTCAGCTCGGGGTTCACGAGGGAACTTCCAAACTGCCGCTAAGAAGAGGAAGGCTTGCATTCCTCCTGCCTCTTCTAAGCGTTTGTCCGTGCTGGTACCTCCACTTTTATCACGAAAGGCGTAAGCGGAGACGGGACAGGGAGGCGTCATTGCAGCCACCTCAGCGCTCGGTCTGCTGCGTTCAGCCCTTGTTGGTCCCTTCTCCTGCGGCCGGCTCCTGGACCAGCCTCCGACTGCCCCGCTGCCTGTAGGTTGGGTGCTCCCTGGCGAATCCTGCTCCTCTCTTGGGTCTGGGATACTTGGCTGCAGAGCAGAAAGCTTTCAACTAGTTGTCTGCAGGGCTAAACAGAAGAGTTTTTTCTGTCAGGATGTCTTGTTGCTTGCTTCCATGGCTGACAACAACTGAGTTTGGTGATTTTGGGATTATCTACTAGTCCTTGAACAACACGGGCTCTCCGGCAGCAGAATACGCTTTCAGCTGGTGGCAGTGTCTGCAAAGACCTTGTCCTCGGTACCTTGACAGCGTTCCCAAAGGAACACTGGTATATTTTCCCTTCGGCTCAAGAGAGAGTTTCTACCCAAACCTTTCATGCAGTCCTAGGAGACTAAACATCTTCCCCTCTGCAAACTCTTGCTGCACCAGCTGTCAGTGAAAACTGATTTTCTAACTACTGTGACCCTGAGCTTGAGGTTCAGTGGATGTTTAAGAGGTCACCTTCTCCATCCCCACCCCGCAGCAGGATCCGCTCCCCAGCTTTTCCAGTTCGTCCTTAAAAAATGCCATTGAGGGAGATTTCAGAGTCCTCTACGCAGTCTGTTTCTGTGCTGAACTTCTCAGTTTACATGTTGGGAAAAAAATTCTCTCCCCTCCTGCAATACAAACCCAGTAATTCTTTCCCTTTTACATATTTGAAGGCTATTACGAGATCTCAGCTGTTTTCTCGAGACTAAACCACCCTGGTTCTTTTCCTCTTCCCTCACAGGTCATTTTGTAGACAGCT